CTGGAACTGCTCCTCCAGAAGACTGCTGATTTTTGCGTTCTTTTTCCTTTCATCATACTTCTTTTGAATCTTCTTTGACCGCTTTTTGTTTAAAATCTCTTCCTCCTCAGGAGTCTGAGGAAAGAGAATACAGATGACCAGCTCAGGGAAGGAGTCCATCAAAACCTGCTCAAAGCCCGAATACCCCAATGCCTGCCTTCCTCAGCACTCAAGGCTTTCATCTCTTCCCACTTCAGCAGCAGAACTGGACAGTTTTCCTCATGGGAAGGCTCAAGCCAGGAAGCCCCCCCAGCCCAACACAGAGGGAACACGCACCAGCTTGGCGCCCTTTTTGCGGCCCAGAGGCAGTGCGTAGTGCGATTCGTACCACTGTCGGTACGGCGTGCTGTCGATGAGCACAATGCAGTTCTTCACCAGGGTCTTGGTGCGGACCAGCTCGTTATTGGATGCATTGTAAACAACGTCAATGATCCTTGTTTTTCGAGTACAACCTGCTCAGGAGATTTAGAATGAAGTCAAGGGAACCACAGGACAGCTGGTTTGCCCTCCCACCTCCTCCCCTCTCCCCATACCTCCACCCAGCCGGAGCACCAGCTCTTTTCATACTGTAACCTCACCTTTTCAGAGGTGTTTGCAACCACAGCCTCCAGAATCAACTCCAACCCATCAGGCTTCGGGAGTTAGGAAGCCACCCACCTCCACGGGCCCCCACTCACACTCAGAGCCCCAGGAGAAGTTCCCCACATCCAGCCGCAGGGCTCGGTACTTCTTGTTGCCTCCTCGAACTCGGACTGTGTGAATGCGGCGGGGGCCGATCTGGGAAGCACAACAACCTGGTTACCGAGCACTGCAGGCCTCCAGCGGAGAGGAACCTGCGCTAGACGCAGGCAACGGGTCAGTGTAACTATGACAAGTCCTTGCATCGGCAAGCGGCACACAAGTGACCAAGACGGCCACGACCACGCCTAAGGATACTTTCTCATCACGTCCGTTGCCTCTGAGTGGGAGAACCTGTCCGCAAACGCTGAAAGCTCATCACAAAAATACCGGAGTGCTGACTATCACGCGGAGGCCGCCCCACCAGAAGCCCTCCTGGTCCCCGAGCACAGGGTCTCCTTCCCACCTAACCGGGGCGCACACAGCCCCCCGCCCCTGCAGTGCACCCAGCGCCGCTGGCGGGGTCGGCTGCCGGACGCTGAACCACGCAGCGCCCGAGGCGGAGCCCACGCCGGCCGCGCTGCAGGGGGAGGCGGCCCCGCGCCCGGCCCGGGCGGCGCGCACCTTCGTGTTGGCGGCAGGGCGACCCAGCTCATACTTCCGCTTCTTGTGGTAGGGCTTCCTCTTGCCCCCGGTCTTGCGGCGCTTGTGCCAGTTGTCCCGGGAGATGCCTGCGTGCGGGAGCGGGGAACAGAGCTCGGGCCATCGGCCGCGGCGCCGGCAGCTCGCCCCCCACCCCCGGAGCGCCGCGCCGGC